TTGCACAGACAGAGTGAATAGGTCAGAACATGACAACTGGACTGGAATGTGGGAAAATGTGAGGTTATCTACTTTGTTAAGAGAAACATTTGGGCAGAGTATTTGTTAAATGGTAGAGATTGGAAAGTGTAGATTTATTTATTAAATGGTAAGAGGTTGGAAAATATGGATAAACAAAGGTATCCTTGTCAACAAATCACTGAAGGTGAACATGCAGGGACAGCAAGCTATGAGGAAGGCTAATAGAATGCTAGCCTTTACTGGAAGAGAATTTGAGTACAGGAACAGTGAAGTCCTGCTTCATTTGTGTAGGAACTTGGTTAGACCCACATCTAGAGCACTGTGTGCAGTTTTGGTCTCCTTTTCGCAGGAAAGATATTATTGCCATTGAGGGAGTGTAACAAAAGTTCACCAGACTGATCCCCGGGATGATGGGACTGTCTTGTGGAGAAAGGGTGGGCAATCTGGGTCTGTATTCTGTAGAGTTTCAAAGAATGAGAGGTAATCTGGTTGAAACTTACAAAATACTGAAAGTTATAGACAGGGTAGATGCAGATAAGGCATTTCCCCTGATTGGAGAAACTAGAACCAAGGGCACAATTTAAAAATAAAGGAGATATCATGAGGTCCAAGATGAGACAAAATTGTTTTCCTTCGAGGGTTGTGAACCTTTGGAATTCTCTAACAAAGAGAGCTGTGGAAGCTCAGTCATTGAGTATATTTAAGGTAGAGATTGATAGATTTCTGATTCCAAGTGTGGTACCAGGTTATGGGGATGGAGAGGAATATAAGGCATGGAGGTGTTCAATCAGCCATGACTTGCTGAATGGTGGACAAGGTCGGAAATCACACGACACCAGGTTATAGTCCAACAGGTTTATTTGAAAACACAAGCTTTCTGAGCCTTGTTCCTTCTTCAGGCGTTCCAAAAGCTTGTGTTTTCAAATAAACCTGTTAGACTATAACCTGGTGTCGTGTGATTTCTGATCTTATCCACCCCAGTCCAACACATCATTACTGAATGGTGGGGCAGGGTCAATGCGCTGAGTGGCTTACTCTTATTCCTATGTTACCCAGTGTAATCTTCATGTGACTCTAACTTTAACTGTTCTCTGAAAGGCTTTAGCAAGCCTCACAGTTCAAAGGAAACTAAAGATGGTAACAGATACCAGCTTTACCAGTGATAACCTCATTCATGGAGGAAGTAAAGTACGAGTGGGTAGGGCTAGATAGGGCAAGTGAATGCAGGGCATCTGCCACTGTGGCATGGCTGCAACCAGGAACTCCCACATTCCAACTTCCCAGGCTGACCGCCCTCATCTCATCTCCTGAAAATTATGGAAGGTCAACATTTACCAGGCCATCCTTGAGTCTGAGTATGACCGGCTATTTCACCACTTTCATGTCCAATCCTTCCCTCAATCACCTTTCCATCAAGAAGCACTCGGAAGTGAGCAGCAGCCCTCTGTCTCCACAGGACAGCGAAGCCAACTGCACGTACTTGACCTTCTGATCAGCTCAGTGTCACAGAGTAAGACCATAAGATGTAGGAGTAGAAGTAGGCCATTCAACCCATTGAGTCTACTCCACAATTCAATGAGATTATGGCTGATCTGATAATCCTCAACTCCACTTTCCAGTCTTTTCCCCATAACCCTTTATACTGGTACTGATTAAAAATCTGTCTATCTCAGCCATGAATATACTAATGTTCCAGCCTCAACAGCCTTCTGTGGTAAAGAATTCTGCAGATTCATTACCCTCTGAGAGAAGAAACTCCTCTTCATCCGTCTTAAATGTGTGACTCCTTATTCTGACATGATGCCCTTTGGTCCTAGACTCTTCCACAAGGGGAAACAACCTCTCTGCATCAACCCGTCAAGTCCCCTAAGTATCTTGTATGCTATGATAAGGTTGCCTCTCATTCTTCTAAATTCCATTGAGTACAGGCCAATCTACTCAACCTCTCCTCATAAGACTCCCTCCAAATCCGGGATCAGCCGAGTGAACCTTCTCTGGACTGCCCCCCAGTGTTAGTATATCTTTCCTTAGATAAGCGGCCCAAAACTGTTCACAGTATTCCAGCTGAGGTGTACTGACTAGTACCCTGTACAATTCCACTTGCCTTCGTTATTAGCTGCTGAATTTGGGGACTAGCTTTCTGTGACTCATGCACAAAGACTCCCAAATCCTCTTCTGTAGCTCCCGAAGTGCTTCTGCATTTAAACAATATTTAGCTCCTCTATTCTTCTTGCCAAAGTGCATAACCTCACATTTCCCCACATTATACTCTGTCTGCCAAGATTTTTCTGACTTGCTTAACCTGTCCATATCCCTGTGCAGACTTTTTACGTCATCCTCAACATTTGCCTTTCTGAAAATACCACCTTATCCCAATTCTCAGTTTTCTATTAGTTAGTCAATCCTCCATCTATGCAAACATACTACATCCAACTCTTTGAGCTTTTATAAGCTTAATGTGTGATATCTTATCAAAAACCCTCTGAAAATCCATGTATATCACATCCACTGCTTCCCCTTTATCTGTCCTGCATGTTACCTCCTCAAAGAATTCTAGTAAATTTGTCAGGCAGGATTTCTCCATCATGAACCCAAGCTGATTCGGCTTGATCATATTATGTATTTCTAAATGATCTGCCATGACATCTAACATTTTCCAAATAACAGACAGTAAGCAAACTAGCCTATAGTTACCTGTTTTCTGTCCTTCTTTTCTAAATACAGATGTTACATTGGCAGTTTTTTAAATTTTGTAGAACTTTTCCAGACTCTAAGGATTCTTGGAAGATTACTACCTGTGCATCCATTATCCCTGTAGTTACTTCCTTTAATATCCTCAGATGCATCAAATCAGGTCCAGGGAACCTGTCTGTGTTGAGATCAATTAGTTTCCCAAAAAAATTTTCTCTAGTGATAGTTATTATATTTATTTCCTCCCATTCTTTTGACCGTTGATTATTTAGTAATTTTAATACAGTGTCTTCTCCTGTGCAGACTGATGCAAAGTATTTATTTACTTCCTCTGTCATTTCCTGGTTCCCCATTATTATTTCCCCAGCCTGATTCTCTAAAGGGCTTATGTTCACTTTGGTTTTTCTCTTCCCTTTTATATGTTTAAAAAAGCTCTTACTGGCCATTTAGATATTACTTTCAAGTTTACCCTAAAAGTTTATCTTGTCCCCTTTTATTATTTTTTGGTGGTATTTGGTTGGTTTTTAAAACTTTCCCAATCCTCTGGCTTACTATTATTTAAATTATTATTTAAAGTTTGCCATGTTGTATGTTTTCTTCATTCAATTTGGTGCTATCCCTAACTTCCTTGGTTAATCATTGTCGGTGTATCCTCTTCCTAGAATCTTTCTTACTCACTGAGATACGTCCTCACTGCAAGCATAGAACTATTTTTTTAAATGGCTGCCATTGTTTCTCAACCATCTTTGCTGATAAACTCTTTCCCCAGTGCATTGCAGCTGGCTCTGCCCTCATTCCTTTGTAATTGCCATTGTTTAAGCTTAATATAGTTGTTTCCAACCCAAGCTCCTCCATGTTATGGTCACTGTTTTGAAGGGGATCTTCTACTCTGACATAATTTATTAATTCTGCCTAATTATGCATAATCAGATTCAAAATAGTTTGGTGAAATAATAATGTGGATCTAGGGAATGGCACTGGAGTGAATAAATATGTTGTGTTAGCCTTCATAACTAATAGTATTCCAATAATACAAAATAAGCAAGTCCTCAGACAGCACCTTCCAAATCCACAACCACTTCTATCTAGAAGACAAAGACATGAGAACACCACCCCCTCCAAGTTTCCCTCCAAGCCACTCACCATCGTGACTTGAAAATATACCACTGTTCCTTCAGTGTCACTGGGTCAAAACCAGTGAATTCCCTCCCTAATGGCATTGTGGGTCTACCTAAAGCACATAGACAGTAGCAGTTCAAGAAGGCAGCTCACCATCACCTTCTCAAGGGGGCAACGAGACATGGGCAAGAAATGTTGGCCCAGCCAGCGACACCCATGTCCCATGAATGAATAAAAAAATTTAAAAATCCCTGGTTGAATCCACAACATATAGTTCTAGGAAACGTTCCCGAATACAAAATTTATTTTTTACTTGTACACATATGGGCTCTATATCTTTCAATTCACAATCATTTCTTGCTATAAACACAGAGAATGCTGGAGAAACTCAGCATTTCTGGCAGCTGGAGAAGAGAGTCATACTGGCCTCAAAACATTAACTCATTTTCTCTCTCCAGTGATGCAGCTAGACCTGCCAAGTTTCTCAGCATTTTCTGTGTTTCAGATTTCCAGCATCTGTAGTATTTGCTTTTATTCACTTTTTGCTGTTGTACTTATCCCATGCCATGCTAACAATGCAATCCCACTACCCTTTCCTTCCTGTGTCCTTCATAAAGTTCAGGTACTACTGAATATTTAGCACTCAGTTCTGATCTCCTAGTAAGTGTGTATCTGCAATGGCTGTAAGATCATACCCATTAACCTTTTTGTGTTGTTAACTGGCAACTCTTTGGGCAACTAGGAACATCCATATCCCACAGGAGAATTTAAAAATCTCTTTTGTTATAGGGTGCCCTCTCTTTTCAGAAGGCACTATGAAACAATTTTCAATCAGAGCTTGGTGGGATGGTCTAGCTGAAACATGATCAGAAGAGGGAAGACCTTACACCCTGCTGACCTCTGCTTTATTTACAGTGATGGGAAAGCTCCAAGCCAGAATGAAATGCTATGTAGCCCAGGAAAAAAAACATTCGCAGACCACTGGATACCTCCTTGCTTAACCATCCTGAAGATTCAGCCAAAATAAGATTAATTAGTTAAGATTGAGATAAGCTCGAAGGGCTGAAAGACCTACCTTCCCTCCTAATTTGTACGTTTGCATGTAAGAGTTAAATAAAAATATCTCTTGAAAGCAGAAAGTGACAAATCATCTTGCGCATAGTAGATACCTGCAAGGAAAAGGTGAGCTCTAACTCGGTCTCCATCAGGCCACCTGGGGGGAGAAGATATTCATTCGATCTTAGGATTCGCTTCGAGCCCTACAATGCACCAAAATGAGAAAGAGCTATTACAGAGTCATAGAGTCATAGAGTCAAGCATTCTGTGTAAATCAACCCTGTGACAGCACTGCCATTGGAGGACTCTGCTTGCTTCTGAATGTAGTAAGATTGTTTTCAAGGGAACCCCATCTGGAAAGAGGATAGAATGATGCTGAGAGAGCAGTCTAGTGTCAAAGTAAAGCAGTATCTAAACATGCTGTTCAAACTAAAACAAGCCTTGGTATTGCTGAAAAAAGACACGTTTTGTCGAAGCCACTGAGTTTCACTCATTGGGATATTTCACAAGAATACATAGTCAACAGGAAAGTCAACATTTATGCTGCTAGAGAGGAAACTGCTAAATTGTTACCAAGTGGATTCTGCTGTTTAGGCACTGCCATAAAAATGCACTCAGTAATGCTGATTGACAGTAAACAGCCAGGTTTTGGTAAATTTTAAATCATGCAGCTTGACTTTGACTGGTTAAAGAATTGCCTCATAAAGTCATAGAGCACAGAAACAGACCCTTTGGTCCAACTAGTCCACGCCAACCAGGTTTCTCAAACTATAGACCCCATTTGCCTGCACCTGGCCTATATCCCTCTAAACCTTTCCTATTCATATATTTGTCCAAATGTCTTTTAAATGTTGTAACTGTACCTGCATCAACTACTTCCTCTGGCAGATCATTCCATACATGAACTACCCTGTGTGTGAAGAAGTTGCCCCTCTGGTCCCTTTTAAATTTTTCTCCTTTGACCTTAAACAATAGCATATTCTTTTTTAATGTTTTAGCAAAAATACTATATTCTCTAGTCGTGCCACATAACTGAAGTTTCTCATCTTGGGTTCCTTCCTGACAAGTTTCATCTCTCACTTCTAGAAGATTATACTATCCTTCATAGATTGTGGATCCAAAATCTGGACAATATCCCAACAGAATCAGAATTGTTATGCTGCAGAAAGAGGCCATTTAACCCAATGGCTGGCACCTGTACCAGCTCTTCATATGAGCATCATTGCCCAGCACCAATCTCCTGTCTTTTCCCCATACCCCTGCAACTTATTTCTGTCCAAATAATCATTCAATGTCCTCTTCAATGCCTCAATTAAACCTTCTTCCACCACATTTCTAGGCAGTGCATTCCATAACTAACTACTAGTTGAGTGAAAAAGCTTTTTCTCACACCAGGCACATGCCCAGAGAAATGAACCCTTGTTGAATTGAAACAGGCACAGTGCACGTTCATGAGAAAAGAACAGAGACCTCAACAGCACCCAAAGCTAAATAAGTGTGTTTCAGGATGACTCTCGCTCCTCACCAATTCACCTGGGGCCTCTTCCATGGATATAACAAGCTGAATAAACTGCTTACCAACAGATGTGGAGATGTGGTGGCATAGTGATGGGGAATTATCTGAATGGAACTTCAGGCAGCTTGTGCCTGATAGTCACCCAAGATACCCAACTGGCATAATTCCACTGGTACTAGAAACACTCAAGGACATATCTTATTCCCTCCATAGAGACATAGAGGTCTACAGCACAGATAAAGGCCCTTCAGCCCATCAAATCTGCACCAGAAAAATAAACCACTTGACTATTCTAATCCCATTTTCCAACACTTGGCACTGTATATGCACATCTAAATACTTGTCACCCACTGGGTGAAAAAGTTTTTCCTCACATTTCCTCTAAAACCTCCTGACCTTACTTTAAATCTATGTCCTCTGGTCATGGATCCCTTTATCAAAGGGAAACGTTTCTTCCTGTCTATGCCCCTCATAACTTTATACATCTTAATCATGTCCTCTCAGTCGTTTCTACGCTAAGGAAAACAATCCTAGTCCATCTAATCTCTCTTCATAATTGAAACTCTCCAGCCCAGGCACTTTTTCAGTCATTTGTAGTCTGTGTATTACATTCCTCAGAAATGTTTGCAGTGTTTCACTGACTTTGAAAGGCATTGACGGCAGTTAGGTAGTTATTGACCATACAAACAGCAAAACATGAGCAAAATACTGTAGACACTGAAAATCTGAAATAAAAACAGAAAATGCTGGAGAAGTTCAGCAGGTCTGGCTGCATCTGTGGAGAGAGAAACACAGCTATCATTTCAGACCGATCATTTTATGTCAAAGTTCAAACAGCCTTTGGAGTTTGCAACTATATTACATAATATTACATAAAAGTGATGACCTATACCAAAACAATACTGGAAGATACTGAATCATTGGCTACTTTCTGGAATAAAAAAGGTTGATTGACTTTAGTTGCCTGAAGGCCTGTCTTCGCATATACTATGGGTCCTCTATTTTGATGGTTTTCAAACACCAGGAGAGTCATTAGGAAAAAGAAGCAGCAGTAAGGAGCAATGAGGCTGCAAGACCTCTCTCCTGGTCAGAATTTGGGAACCTGATCAAGTCAACAGTTTGACTAGGTTGTAAACCCTGAAAACCTGAACTGTGACCATGATCCAAAGACTTGGATCCAGCTTGATTTCCAAATAAACTGAAGTTTTGGTTAAAGATCTTTGTCAGTAGTTCAAATTTGTCAACAGGAAGTTCAATGGACTGTGAAGATTCAATCTCTTCCCTTTCTGTTATAGACCCCTGGTCAATAAGGGTATTCTCCCTTTCTGCTTTTCTTTAAAATATCATCTCTGTAAAGTCACTATTGTGCTGGGTGTGTCTGTTTGCTTGGGATTAAAGACAGTTATAGTCTCATTTTGGATTTAATCTTAAACATTAACCAGTTTTCAGCACTTCTTTTAATAATATGTTTGTGTTATAATAAATTGGTTATTTTGAGTTCATTGAAAGTCTTTTATTTTGAAAAGCAGTAGCAAAGTGAAACAAGTGGACATTTTGATGATTGCACAAGGTGCTGATATCTGGATTACTGAGAGTAGTTTTGGTCCCCTTGTTTAAGGAATTATATTATTTCACTTTAGTTCAAAGAAGGTTCATTGGGATGATTCCTGGTACACAGGGATTGTTTTATGAGCAAAGGTTGAACAGGTTTGGACTCTACTTGCTGGAGTTTACCGGAATGTAAGGTGATCTCATTGAAACATATGGGAATCTTAAAGGTCAATGCTAAGAGGATGTTTCCCTTCAGGGGAGAGTCTAGGACCAGGGGGCACCGTGTCAGAATAAAGGGCGCCAATTTAAGATTGAAAAGAGGAGGAATTTCTTCTTTCTGAGGATTGAGTGTCCTTGCTAGAGAGAGCTGTGGGGGTCAGAGTCCTGGTGTATTTATAAGGCTGAAATAGGTAGATGCTTGATCAGTCGGGAAAGGACAGGAAAGTGGACAGGCGTGCCCATACTAAATAATGGAACAGGCCTAATCCTGTTGCTATTCTCATGGTCTTATGAAATGAAAAGTCAGAATCAATAGTGACTAGTCATGTAGAGGGGCATTCCAAGTCACTTCACCGGACAAGGCAGCAGCACTCTGAAAGCTTGTGATTTCAAATAATCCTGTTGGACTATAACCTGGTGTCATGTGACTTCTGATTCCGAAATCTCTCCAGCTCTCTACCTTTCTTCCTTTCTTTAAGATAAATACTAAAGACACAGTGACATTCAAGGTCATTTAAACAAATTATTTGAGTCAATCCAGAGATACTGCCTCAATCACACAGCAAAGAAAAAAGCAAAGTTCAAAAGTTCCAGCGTGAACAAAATACTTCAAATAGTGCCACAGACGCAGTTACAATACTGCCTATTCCTCATTCTAAAATTCCCTCAGTAGTGACCCTCGACAGTGCAGCACTCCCTGAGTACTGACCCTCCGACAGTGCAGCACTCCCTGAGTACTGACCCTCCGACAGTGCAACACTCCATCAGCACTGAACCTCCGACAGTGCA